TGCTCAACTTCGAGTGGAAATACGAACTCGGCGGTATCGCGTCACTATGAGATGATGCGATGGCTTGAACCTTACATTGCCGATGTGAGTTGATCCACTCATTTGATTTATTTTTTGTTCATCGATTCATTTATTGATCTGTTTCAGTGATTGTTTAGTCATCCGGTATTGAACGTTTCATCATTTTTCTTTTTTGAATTTGATAATTTGGTGTGTCTATTGCCTTCAGCGTTATCGATTGTGTACTGTTGTTGTTTATAAACACGGAATGAATGTCACCTTAAATAGATATGCATTTCCATACACGTGTATTCTGTAAATCCTCAGTGTTCGTAGATTTTATACGAGATTGATGAATTGTCTGATCTAAAATATTGCTATTCAGACGGCGAATTCAAATGCAAATGCAGACAGTAGTAACACTCCTTCTAACACAAGCACTAGTGCTCAACCAAATAACGCAACTGCTGGAAGTACTACCCCGAATGCTTCAACTTTACAATCCTCTCAACAAACTATCTCCAGTGCTCAGAAAATGCCCGGTTAGATTCACATTTTACTTGTTTTACTTTCGATGGTATATTTCATTTTCGAGTGATTCTCTTCTCTTAATCAAACAAACTACTCATCGTTTCATTTCAGTAGATTGCAATGGCAATCGTATAGTGGCCTTGTGCATTCTTTTGTCTCAAACGTTCATCTTCTGATGGAACGCATTCAGTACATAACTCTAACAGACTGAATGATGATTGCCGAGAAACCAAACTGCGTGTGATGGCTTCTTAACGATGTTTTCATTATTTTAGCTCCGAAAGAAGAAACGCTTTCGTGTTTTATGAGCGAACCCGATTTGGCAAGTCAGGATGCGAATGCATCAGTTGTGGTTAGCACATCAGAAGACGGAGTACTCTTGAACAGGTTTGTCTTCAACTATCTCAGATATTTCCTACTTTTCTGCATTGAATTTCCTCGTAGTTTCTCCTGATTTTTCTCCTGTGTATTCTGAAATCATTTCAAATTTTATCAACTTTACAATTCGACAAATTTTTCGATTGTTATTTGTTACTGTGATCAGCTTATTTGGGTCTTTATGACTCATTTGGATGTTCTCTTCGTAGTTCACTTCTTTGAGTTTATTCTCGACACTAATACTGCAGTGTCTCC